TCAAATAGAGCCCGTGCATATATATAAAAGGCACTAGATAGTCGAGCTAATTTTTTTTGCAGCGTAAAAAAAATGCCCAAACACTATTATTGGATTTTAAATAATAGAAAAAATCCATAACTTGACACCATAGAAAAAGAAGCTAAAAAAATAATGATTTCCAATCCCCTAGAATAAATATATAGAATGATGAAATAAAAAAATAATGAAAAATATTATTAAAACATAAAGTACCAACAAAACCAAGTGAAGTTGTTAGAAACTGTGAGCATAACCAAACAAACAATCATTATTTGATAGGTGGTTTGTGAAACACTGCATACCTATCTTATTTTTATCATAGAAAAGATATTGAAACGATGCATATTTTTTCAAAAAAGAATAAAATCCAAGATTATGATCACCAACTCGAGATCCAAAAATATTAAAAAGAAATGAAAAAAAAAGGGTTCAAGCCAAACCTAGTAAACCTGCTAAATCCATGACTCAAGACACGATACCAAGATAACTCAATAGAAAAAAAAGGGTAAATAAACAAAGAATAGTAATTTCAAACAACAAAATTCCTTCAAATATTACCTCAAATTAAATGTCAATGATGCAATCAATAAATTTAATTTAATAAAAAAACAAAATAGGGCCAACCATGTTTTTTATTGGAGAAAAAATATCAAAACAATGTAAACCTGAGTTAAACTGTCAAACTTGCAATCCATCAAATTCTTGACTTGGGCTTTAAGAGTTCAACACCTAAAAAATTAAATGTTAGATGATGAAATCAATTAATTCAATTCAAAAACAAAATTCCTTTAGAAAATCTAAATTTAACAAAGACCACAAAAACTAAAAGCAAGGCAACCCATGTTATTTTAAAATTGACCAAAAAAATCTTATAGAAAGCGAAAAAAACAATAAAAAAATGGTAATTTTTTTAAATTTGTAAGCCATTAAATTCTAAATCTGGACTAAACTAAAAAGCTTAACACCAATCTAATTAAATGTTGGAGGATTAAATAAAAATAAAATCAATCTAAAAAAAACTTGCAAGTTGAAAAAAATACAATAATAAAAAAAGATTAGATTTGATGGGAAAAAAAAATGATTAAATTGCCAAAATAAATTGCAAAAACAATCTAAAAAACAGTAATAATAAGAACATAAACCAAATCTAATAGGTGAAAATATCTATTGGGGGTGAAATTAAAAAAAAAAACCTCTTAATTTAGTAAAGAGAATAAAATAAAATTGAAGAAACCCTTTAATTCAATAAAAAAATTTTAAAAAAATTTTAAATTATAACAAAGAGAATAAGGATGAAATCTTAAGTATAACAAACCCTAAAGGTTGATTCAATTTTTTTCAAGGCCAACATGAAAATAAAGTAGGAGAGAATGAAAAAAATAAAAACAAAAACAAAAGGCTACACGTGCCACTCAGGCCACCATCAAGCTAATGCGCGTGTTTATTCGTGGAGGGGATGCTGAGATGCTTGACCATCTCACACCTGGGATAACCTCGTGCAAAGAAAGGTGGAAACAATAACAACACTTAAGGGTCAATAATTTAATGACAAAGAATAAAACCAAATAAAAAATCAATGTAAAAAAATTGAGCCAAGCCATGTAACTCAACCAACCTGCAATGCGACATATGAAATGGAGATAACCCCACAAAAAGAAAAGCTAAACAAATCACAAAGCTTATAGCCTAATAAGTCAATGTGAAATGATTAAAAAAATATTAAACTCAAATTAGGTAAATTATTGAAACTAGTGAATCAGGTCATGAAAATAAGACGATCCTGTAAAAGAAAAAAATAATCATAAAGCAAAATCCTCAATTATATAAAAAAACAATAAAGACCAAATCTTATACCAAAAATAATTAAAAGAAACTAATTAGAGACTAAATTGAAAGCAAAATAAATGAAAAAAAGGATAGAAAAAGAGTAATGAAAAAAATAAGGATCAAAATTTAAAAACAATAAATTAAAATTCTAAATGACAAAAATAAAATAAAATAAATGCAAAGGTTGAAAAAACAGTAATCAAAAGAATGAGGTTCAAATTCTAAACAAAAACAAATTAAATTAAATGCAAAGAGGGATGCGATTGAAAAAAAAAACTTCAAGAAACATTAAAATTAAAACAAATAAAAATCAAAAGAATGATGACCATACCTAAAACAAATACAAAATGGAGAATAAAACTAATTTTTTAATGAAAACCAAGGCCTAGGAGAGAGAAACAAAGGGCAGGAGAAAAAACCTCATTGTCGCCGAATTACTGCTTGCCTTGGTGATCATGTCACTTCAATAGTTCCGCAATATCCTTATGCATCGGATGAGATGACGATTGGTTTTTTTACCATAGTAATTGTCTGCACCTATCTCCAGAATAACGTAGAGGACTCTAACGTGTGCATGGCACGCGTCAACATATTTTACTGATTTATTAATATTTTCATAAGATGGATTACAAAAAATGGCATAAAGGCACACCACTATTTCAAAAAAAAAAAATTGTGGCGCAATGTAACATCCTCAAATTATAATGTCATGAAATCTCAAATATTTCATTACTAATTTCAATTATTGAATAATATGTCTAAAGATTATGAGAATTTTTTTTTTTAAATTTCGGCAGAGTTTCCTTTATTTTTGTTGGTACAAGTTATATAAAATCCCTTATTATTAGAAACTGTAAAGCAGCCAATCCCATCCTCAACTTCTATCGAAGTCCATCTCGAAGTCTCTCAATTTGATGCTGCTTAGTAGGTAAATAAACAAAAGCAAACATAAAGAGATCTTGAAACCGCCTCTCATATTTTAATACTGTCATATCTCCTTATGTAAGAGCCAAAAACTACTGTTCCTTGATCTTTTGATATTGACAGGAATAATACTGGTTCTTAAACTCTATCCTTAAATCCCTCCATCAAAGTGTCTCATCAGGCCATCTCTTTTTAACAATATCCCACCATGTCTAAGCTCTGTACAATAATAGCTAAGTAGCACAATCCACTCAAAGCTTTGTTGGTATTGCTATATGATCCACAAATCTTTGTATCTTTCGTAACTATTGGCTAACTATCCCGACATCCTCCTCTCCTATAAATGCTTCCCAACCTAATTCCTTCTAACTCTTTACCCATTGAATTAAAGTGACAACAATATCCCTGACACAGTATTTAATGGTTATGATATTTTGTCATCACTACACGAACCAACTATACAAAATAAATTGGAGATGTGGTGAAAGTGCTGCCACAAAGGATGCTGCTGGTGATATTTCAGACGTTACTGTTGGTGGGGGCTGACTTTCCTGGTCATCTCCATCAAATATCCCTGATTGTGATATCCCCGCTCATGCCAGAGTCTTGAGCAAAGACAAAAACGTCTTTAAAAGTTATTCTTTAGATTAACAAATTTAAAGGTTAACTATATAATTTTGCTATATAAAAAGTATACAATGACAAATAAACCCCTTCATGCAAGACCATTTTTTCTAAGTGTTTAAAGTTATAAATGTTATTTTATTATTTTTTTTAGATTTCAAGGGAAAAAAATATTTTTACTATGTATTGTATTAAGACTCTGTTTGTTTGCAGAAAAATTGTTTTCTTTTGGAAAGTGAATTTTGAGGAAAATGAATTCCTGAAAAGTAAAGTATTTTCCGATGTTTAGTAGTGTTATGGAAAATGAACTGGAAAACACTTTCCAGTGTTTGGTTATGTTATGGAAAATGAACTGGAAAATAATTTATTAATATTTTATTTTTCTCAAGTTTATTAAAATAATAAGGAATAAATCTTACAAATTAAAAAGTTGAATAATAATGAAATTGAAAAAAAAAATTTCATAAATTATCTCAAATAAAATAAGTAATAATCAAAATAATAAAGATCAAATCTAAAAAAAAAAGATGAAGAAATTAAAATAATAATAATTAACATTTCATAAAGTATTTCAAATAAAATAAATAACAATCAAAAGAGGAGAAAAACAAATGAGGACCAAATTTGATAGAAAAAAATTTCAATAAAAAAATAATAGAAGAAAAACAAATAACAATTATAAAAATGAGGACCAAAGTTAATATAAAAATTAAATTTTAAGAAATAAAATTGAAAAATAAATATTCAAAACAAAATATATATATATAGCAATCAAAAGTTTGAGGATCAAATTTGATATAATCAGCAAATAATGACATTTCTAAATTTTTCACAACTTCCGGAAAATGTTTTCCTCTCAAATTTTTCAGGAAAACATTTTCCTAAAAATCAAGCCAAATTTTCCTTTGACTGGAAAGTGTTTTCTGTTTATCAACTTTCCTAACACTAAACAAACACAAGAAAGTTTGGAAAGTGATTTACCAGAAACCACTTTCTAAAAAACAAACACAAGAAAGTTTGGAAAGTGTTTTCCCGGAAACCACTTTCCAGAAAACAAACACAGCTAAAAAGGAAAACACTTTCCTGAAAACAAAGTCAAATTTTTCTTTGACTGAAAAATATTTTTTGTTGACCAGAAAGTGTTTTCCGTTGACTAGAAAATATTTTCCGTTGACTGGAAAATGTTTTTTGTTGCCAAAAAATATTTTCCATTGATTAACTTTTTTAATAGCAAACCAACACAAAAAAATTAAAAAAATTATTTTTTAAAAAACAAACATTGCCTAAGTTAAATAGCAACTTTGCTCTCCATCAACTCGTCAGTAATATTTAAATCTTATTTTACCTTTAATATCAAAACAATATCATTATTACATTACATAATTCATAATAATTCTCCTCGCATGCACGCAGAGACCTTTTAGTCTTTTTTTTTTTTTTTTTAATTTCCTGGTATGGTTACCTTTATCTATGAGAATTCTCCACATCATTTATCTTTTACCAGACATGGCAGTTATTTATAATATTTGTGAGCAAACCCTGAGGAACTTACATTTTGGCTGTCTTAGATTATAATTATCAGTAAAGTAGTCATAAGAAGATACATATTCTTTTCAAAGTCAAAACTACCCACTTTAGACCCGTTTCTCCTACAAGAGAAAAGTCATCTCCCCCTCCCCCCTCTCTCTATGCGCGTTTGAACCACTTTTAGAGAGAGAGACTCAAAGCAAAGCTCCTCCCTCTTTCTCTCTCGAAAATCTCTTAAAAAAATAAAAAAACTCCAAGATTATTTCTTTAAGAGAGAGAAAGAAAACCCAGCATTTCCCATTCTTTCTTAATTCAAGTTTCTCAATGTTTTTGTCAAAACAGAGATCGAGGTACGGAACTAGAAAATAAAAGAATGGAATTTGTTGGTAAATCAGTCAAGAAGAAATTTAAAGGGTTTGGTGTTTTCAAAGGAACAGTCAAATCCTACGACCCGTCGTCTGGTTTCTTCGAGGTCAAGTACGAGGACGGCGATTTCGAGAAGCTTGGTTTCTCTGATGTTGCTTCCTTGGTAGGAGAGGATAAAGAAGCTGCCGTTGCTGCTGCTGCTGTTGTCGGGCCTGTTGACCCTAAGCCTCGCTTGGGCCGGAAGCCCAAGAAGCGTCGCCGTTCTGACCTTAAGAAGCTCGAGAGCGGAGGAGAGTCAGGTAATTCTAGGGTTGTTGAGGCTAATGGGAATTTGGATGTGAATAGAAATGTTGATCTGAATGATGGGTTTAGTGGGGATTTGAGGGAAAATGTTGATATTAATGTCGATTTGAATGAAACCCTAGAAAAAGGAAGTGGGATTGTGGAGAATTTGACAGAGGGGGGTTTTGATTTGAATGCTGGGTTTAATTTTGATTTAAACGAGGAGGGAGAGGAGGGTAGTAGTAACAACAACAACAACAACAACCATATTCATAATCATAATCATAGTAATAATAATAATTTAAGTGTTGATTTTGAAGGGAAGAAGAGGGAGTGCATCGACTTGAATTTGGATGTGAGTGGTGATGTGGATGAGAATATTAAGGAGTTTGATTTGGAGTGTCCAGCTGCGGAGACCCAAAAGAGGGAACGGGGGTTTGATTTGAATTTAGGGATTGATGAGGAAATGAAGGATGGGATGGATGATGGTTTTGAAGGGCAAGTAGAAGAGGCTCTACATTTTGAGATTCCAAGGATGGGGGAAGTCGAGAAAAGTCATATTGAAAGTGCAATTCCTAATGGGAAATTGGAAGAAGTTAATGTTATTAATGTTTCGTGTGTAGAGTTGGGTGAAAGGATTGAGGAGTTGAATATCGTTTCTGGTGAAGATTTTAGGGCTTGTGATTCTGTTGGAGTGATGGATGTTAAGGATGTCAAGGAGGATTGTCCTGAGGTGATTGATTTAACAAATGGTTATAAAGAGGAGAGTGTGAGTCGGAGGAGGGGGAGGAGCAGAAGAAAGCTTGCAGATAATTTGAATTCTATTCCAGATGTGACTGTTCTCTTGGATACTAATGCTGTTAGGGATGAATGTTTGGTGGGGAGTGGTAGTAGGAGGCGCAGGAGGAGGAGAAAGCTTGCAGATAATTTGAATTCTACTCTAGAAACAATAGTTCTCTCAGATGCTAATGCAGGTGGGGAAGTTTGTACAGTGGGAGTTGATGGAAACTTAGGTGATGTCAGAACTTCATGTAAAGAGGCTAGTGCTAGTGCTAGAAAGAGGAAAAAACCTTTGAGTAATGGGAATTCAACGCAAGAAACAACCTTTTTGAGAAGAAGTGCTCGTAGAGGGTCAACTAAAAACGACATGTCAAATGATATATCAATGTCTCCTGTAATTAGTGCATTAATGGAGGAAAAACCTGTTAAATCACATCATGAATGGCCTGAAGAGCCTGTGGTTCTTCCTCCTAAGTTGCAACTACCTCCTTCTTCGCAGAGTTTAGATTTGAGTGGCATTCCTGTACTTGACCTATTCTCAGTCTATGCCTGTTTAAGATCATTTAGCACTTTGTTGTTTTTAAGTCCATTTGGGTTGGAGGAATTTGTGGCTGCAGTGAAGGGTAACTCTCCAAGTTCACTATTTGACTGGATTCATGTTTCAATTCTGCAAACTCTAAGAAAGCATTTGGAGAACCTTTCAAATGAAGGTTCTGAATCTGCTTCTAATTGCCTGAGGTATTCCTTTTGTTCCTTACTTTTCATTTTTGTTGAAGTTGATTTCTTTTCATTTGAAACTTAGGTTTATTGATATTTACTATTTTTAATTGACTATCAATTTAGGAGCCTGGATTGGGGTTTGTTGGACTTGATTACATGGCCTGTTTTCATGGTTGAGTACCTCTTGATCCATGGTTCAGGGTTGAAACCTGGATTTGATCTTAGTAGACTGAAGTTGTTCAGAAGTGACTACCACAAACAACCTGTGTCTGTGAAGGTGGAGATATTAAAGTGTCTTTGTGATGACATGATTGAGGCGGAAACCATCAGGTTGGAGCTTAATAGGAGATCTTCAGGAACTGACCCTGATATGGACTTTGATCGAAATGTGAATCTTGGGGGTTACAAGAAAAGGAAGACTGTGATGGATGTCTCAGGTAACTCATGCCTAACGGAGGATGCTGCTGATGACACTAATGACTGGAATAGTGATGAGTGCTGCCTTTGTAAGATGGATGGAAATTTAATATGCTGTGATGGTTGTCCTGCTGCATATCATGCAAAGTGTGTGGGTGTTGCCAATAACTCTTTGCCTGAGGGTGACTGGTATTGTCCCGAGTGTGTGATTGACTGGCAGAAACCTTGGATGAAACCTCGAAAGTTGCTTCGAGGAGCAGAGCTACTGGGAGTTGATCCTTACAACCGGCTATATTTTAGCAGCTGTGGTTACTTGTTGGTGTAAGTTTTTCCTAATGTTGCTATTAGTATTGTTTACAAGTAGCTGGGTGTGGTATGTAGAATACAGTCCACAGTATTTAACAAAAATAATATAGAGCTAATGAAATATTATGTTTTGAAGTTTTGCTTAGTTGGTATTTTCTTATATAGGTTTTAAAATTTAAGACCATCAATATCTCAAGGAAACAAATTTCTGAGACTGATTAAGTGGTAGAAGCCAGAGACATCTTTTCACTTGCTGATGTCATTGTCTAGCATGTCATTAGCAATAGCTATAACTATTTACTTGATATGGTTTCTTCCACTATCTAGGGATACAAGCTTGTGATTGTGGTCGTAGTATTTGAGCTGCAGTTATTTTTATAACCCATCTCCCTGTGAGCTTGCTTCAGTACTAGCATATTTTTTTCATGTATTGTTGATCTTGCAGGTCAGATTCCCTGTGAGCTTGCTTCAGTACTAGCATATTTTTTTCATGTATTGTTGATCTTGCAGGTCAGATTCCCTGTGAGCTTGCTTCAGTACTAGCATATTTTTTTCATGTATTGTTGATCTTGCAGGTCAGATTCCCTGTGAGCTTGCTTCAGTACTAGCATATTTTTTTCATGTATTGTTGATCTTGCAGGTCAGATTCGTGTGACACTGAATGCTCATTCAATTACTACGAAAGGGACCATCTTAGTCTTGTTATCGAAGTGCTAAAGTCTTCAGAGATGATTTATGGTGGCATTTTGGAGGCTATCCACAAGCACTGGGACATGCATTTATATGGAGCAAGTAGCAGTTTGAGTTCCCTAAAGCATACAACAAGCTTAGACATGTTCATACCCCCATGTCCCTCAGCATCTTTAGATGCATGTGCAACTGAAATCAAGGCTGCTGATGGACAAAACCTGGGAAAGTTTGTTAATGGATGCTGTGGTCATCTTGATGTTGAGTTTTCAAAGTCTGCAAGCCTGACATGTATGAGTTCTGAAGGATCAGCTGAAACCATCCAAATTAGTTCGGGGAACCAGAATTTTCAGAAAGATGACTGCTCTAACAGATTTGCTGGCTTCTCAAATGAATCCGATGTTCCAGGAAAGTCCCTTCCCATGGGAGACAATTCTACGACTTCCAACAGTTTGGATATTAAACGAGAAAAGAATTCATGTCCTCCTCCTACCAGATGTCCTTCATCTGCTGGAAATGCAAAAGCTGAAGTCACATTACAAGTGCAGCCTGGAACTGAGTACATGAACTATTACTGTTTTGGCCATACATCTGCTTCAATTGCAGATGTGTTATTGTCTAAACCATCAGAGAAGACCACTGAAAACTCCATAAAATCAGATGAGGAAATGGCTTTAGCTCAGATGAAGGTCATTTTGAAGAAATCCAACAAGTTCTGTTGGTCAAGCATTCCCTGTCTAAATGCTGAAGTCCAGAAAGGAAAATGTGGATGGTGCTTCTCTTGCAGAGCGACCACTGATGAGCCAGATTGCTTGTTTAATATGAGTTTGGGTCCTATTCAGGAAGGTTCTGAAAGTGAGGCGATTGGTCTTCAATCAAAAAGAATCAGGAAAGGCTATCTAATAGATTTAATACATCATATTCTCTTGATTGAACATCGACTTCAGGGTCTGCTACTGGGTCCATGGCTGAATCCACATTATACGAAGCTTTGGTGTAAAAGCATTCTTAAGGCATCTGATATTGCGTCTGTTAAACATTTACTGCTAAAAGTAAGGATCTGCTTTCAACTTGGTCAATACTGAGCAGAATTATTATTGCTTTTCATTTCTTCAAAATTTCTTTCATTCGAACTCAGATTCATTTCAAGGTTCAAACTGACATTTAGAGCCTATCTTGTGTGATAGCTTTTAAACCATGCTCACTTGATTTTAAAATGTTATCCAAACTTCTATTTTACCTTTAACTTGATTTTAAAATGTTATTCAAACTTCTATTTTACCTTTACAATATTTTTTGATGAATTTTATTGGCATAAGTTGTTTATCTAGTGCAGTTGGATTACCTGAAGTCCCAGTTGCAAACAAATCTGAAGCATCCTATTAAGGGTCTTGTGTGCAATAAGTTGATTTAGAACAGTCAATGTTGTCTTGAAACCCTGATTTCTTATAGTTGTTTATTGAATTTATCTAGTGATTTTTGGCAGTTGTCTTGAAACCAGGATTTCTTATACAAGTTGTGGTAGTAGTCTGTCTCCTTGGTCCGGAAGGGTCCAAGTTGGTGCAAGTTGTAATAATATTGACAATGGTTATCCCTTGATCTATTTGCTTTAAATTCATCTTGTTATGGGTTTTGTGCAGTTAGAGGCAAATGTGCGGTGTCTTGCACTTTCAGCAGACTGGGTGAAACACGTGGACTCTGGTGTCACAATGGGATCTTCTTCTCATGTTGTGACTACTTCTTCACGTGCATCTTCAAAGAATGGGATTGGCAGGAAAAGAGCTAGGTCCACAGAGTCAAAACCCTGTGCAAATTCTGCCAGTGGATTGAGTATGCTTTGGTGGAGGGGTGGTAGGCTTTCTCGTCGGCTGTTCAGTTGGAAGGTTTTACCTTGCTCCTTGATTTCCAAGGCTGCTAGACAAGGTCTGAATTTCTTCTATTTCTTCAATCTATTTTTTGGGGGTGGTAGTTTTTTCCATTTCTGAGTATTATTCTGAATATGTTCAAAGTTTGAAATTCTGCAGCTGGTTGTATGAAGATACCAGGCATATTATATCCTGAGAACTCAGATTTTGCAAAGAGAAGCAAACATGTTGCCTGGCAAGCTGCTGTTGAGTCATCAACGACTGTAGAACAGCTTGCTTTGCAGGTATGGTGCTCATTTTTCATTTCTTCTCAACTTTTCATGATCATGGTTTTCTTTTTCCTGCTTTGTTCTCTCTATCTCACCTACGTGGGCAAGGACATTTAATTGCAAACATCAGCTTTTTTATTACAGTGTCTGCTTTCAGCTTCCTTTTAACTGGTTCCATCTATTTATTTTAATTGTATGACCTTTCCAGGTTAGAGAGTTTGATTCAAATATTAGGTGGGATGAAATTGAGAACACTCATCCTTTGTCTATGTTGGACAAGGAACTTAGAAAATCATTTA